ATCCTCTTAAAATTTCAGCTTTCTAGCTTTTCTGGTTCGTGAGTTATCAACTTTCCCGAAAAAAATTTTGGCGGCCTCGTACATGGATACCACGGTTACCCGCGGGCTGGGTTTCAGCTCATTAATACCTACTTGGACGGGGAACATCCCCTTAAAATTTCCGCTTTCTAGCATCTCAGATCTCCGAGATATGAACTTACCCGGGAAAAATTTTGGCGGGCTCTTACGTGGGTACCACGCGGGTAAAACCGCCCATTTCGGGGATGGGGGCTCGTACGTGAATGTAGATTATGCCCCCAAAGTTCCAGTCCTGTAGCTTTTGTTGGTCTCGAGATGAAAAATCGGTACAGATGAACACACAGGCAAACACACACACACAGACAACCCCTCGTCAATATGCGTTTTCTGCACTGTATAGCTGCAAAAAACGCATAATAAAAGTTTCTTTCAAAAAAGTAGGTAGTCTTTCAAGACCTCATTTATCACATTTTACAATTGCTAAATTACTTTACTTATCAGTTTTTATTGAGTCATTGATAGAATGAAAGACTACCTACTTACTGTTAAAAATAATAAATATCAAGTATACTGTTAATAAATATCAAGTAAAAAAGGGTTTGTCAGTTCATAAAAACACTAGAAGTATCCTCCCTGTCAATCCACTCTCTCTAAAAAATTTCCGACTACTCGGTTGCTGATGCTGCTTGTAATGATAACGGTACGGGCCTTAAATACATGCGTCATTTTTTTATTTTCAAAAAAAAATGAAATGTAGGTGGCGCCGATCTGGAAGTTTGTTTGGTTGATTCATCGGACAAAAATTTCAATTGCACAGCAATGCTTGGCTCGCAGTCAATGCCTGGAAAAGTATTACTTCCGGTACCAGAAGTAGCAAAACCGTTTCGGGTAACAGCTTTGGAATTTTACAGTTACACAGAAAAAAAAAGAAAATCTGATGAAAAAGAAAAAATTTTCATAAGTTAACAGTCTAAAAGTATTTCATTTGTGCTAGCTGTATACTTCGCATTTGTTGTAAAATAGGATTTAGGTTATGATGCACCAGATTTGCTGGTGCGACCGTGCGTTTTTGCATGAAACTTGAAGCAATCAGATCGTTTACCATATGAATGGTTGTTACTTTACGTTTAGCTTGTACACTCATTGCCGTAAGTTACCGTTAATCTTGCATGAAGAAAAATGAATGATTTCCGGTGACCGGTCGTTTATTGAAAATGGCCTAACTGTTCTGATTCCCGAGATAACGACTTACCTGCCAAAACTTCCACGTGCCCGTACGTGAGGTTCAGATGCGCATGGCAGTTGGCAACATATTCCTGGGATTGTGCCTGGCCACGGAACCCACTAGCAAAATTTTAGCATCAAAGCTTGCCCGGTTGCTGAGTTGAAACATCCAACAGGCAGATAGGCACGCAATGGCGTTTACTGAAAAAGCGCTTAAAATGTACGAATACGCTGAATTAAAAAATAGTAATTTGAATAAAAAGTATAACACATCCTGCTTTCTTATAAACGATTGGCTGAAGTACACTGGTATACAATCATGAGGAACAGAAGAAAGGGAGGAAAAGGTGAGAGTCGGAAGGCTTAGTTCTGGAATAACTTGAAGCTTGGCATGTGGAGGCGATAAGCTTCGAATTTGAGTTGATAGCGCACTTCGAGAAATTTCTCAGCAATCTTTATATCAACTATTAATTACTCAGAATTTCAACAGATTGCTATCATACCAAACATTGCCACCGGAATAATTGCAATCGACGACATCAGTTACACGACTGTTCCATGTCAACAGTCCAGTTCTCCGACCGCAGGATACAGCGAGAACATAGAAGTAGAATCTCTTTTCTCTCCAGTAAGCTTATGAAGTCGTTCATGTTTTCGAAACTTTGCTCAGTCATAAAACTTTTATGCGAAATCAAATCAGAACTTAGAATCGCAAGCATCAGTTTAGATGACGACGCAGGAGTGGATAATGACGAGCACACCAACCTCAGGATTCAGTACGTTCACACTTACTGAATCCAAGTAAGTGTTTCTCTCCATCGTTACTGTTGTAATTTTTTTTTCCTGTAAGCAGTGCAAAAAGCATAAAAGTATGATATTTGCAGATTTGTCTGTTTGTCCTAACAGTTCAGCTTTTAATACACTGAAGCCAAGAACCTGAAAATTAGAATTTGTCATAAATTTCTGAAACGATATAAACGTAGAATTTTCATTTCCCTTTAATCTCAAGGTGCAGATGTAGATTCTTCAACAAAAACTTTCAAGAAGTAAAATTTTTGCTAATTCTATTAAAAAACCCAAATTTCTGCTAATTTCCTAACTTGAGAGTCATTAAAGCAACTAATTGGAATTCTTGGGAGATTAATTTACCCGCCGATAAGTAAGAATCAAACTCAAAAACAGTCACATTCACTTCGCTTTTACCAATGACTCCACGTCTAGATTCAGATAGCTATTACGACTAGGGACAGAATGAGCTAAGCTTCTAAATTTTTAATTTTAATTGACCACGTAAGACGGGCCGAATAGCTTGAAATAGCTGACAGATATTTTCGGCGTATACTTTGTACCCAGATATATGAGCTCATGACAAAAATTAAACTGTGAATCCGTAATTACTATGGTACTTCGCATGCAGTAAATCGATTGAGGGATCATCTTGAACAAATCCTACACGCTTTGGTGTGTTCAAAAATAATGCATCCGTAGCAGTCTATCGCAAAAATGCGTAAGCGCCGCAGTTTTCTCGTATGCACCACTACATATCTCGTTTGACGTTACAGTGTACTTTAGCAAAAAAAAAAGCGAGAGAAAATTACTCTGCTTTATTTTAGCTCGGTAGTTCATACGACGGAGCTGCCATTCGACCTATTAATTCTTGGAAATAAGACGACACCACTTTTCGATCGGCGCTCTGGTCGAATTATTACAAACACATCGCTGCTTCTTTGCGATTTCACAGATGATTTTTCTTGCCAATGGGGTCCTGAAAGTGGCAGATGGGGTGTCATCCAGGAAGGTTCCTACCTTTCATCTTTCATACATAGCTGTTTTATCTCAACTGATGTAAGTACCAATGCACAGCCAACCTTCTGTTGGTTTGTTTTCAATCGATTTTGCGCTTGAAAGGTGCCAAAATTTCTAATACTGGACTGTTTCATTCCGGAGTTACAATATCATCACATATTCAGTTATATAGTCATAAGCCATTATGTGCTCTTGGAGTTACGTTTCAATCATTTATCCCTTTTTAAGTGATTGACTAAAAGCCCAAAAAATCACGCTCCGTTCAAAAGTAGTTGTATTTCTGTAAATATGTATAAACTTGAATAACAGCAATTTTAGGTGCAATACCCTCATTTACTTTGCCGGATGGTTATCCTGCTCCAACATATCCGGCCGCTATTGTGATACAAGGAACGGCAATGCTGACAAGTGATCCCCTGAAATGTCAGACCAGTCAAGGAAAGGTAAAAACACTCGAATAATATCAGTATGATGTTAAAGAAACTCTAATGATTATTACTGCACTTTGTAGATTAAGCTACCTGAAATTGCAGATTAAGTTACTTTCATATTTGCAAGCTGATCCTGAGTAACTTATCATGCTTTTTTTGGCTTAAGCCTCAAAGTGAGATTTTTTTTATTCTCAAGTTATCAGCTTGAATTGAGTATGAATGTCTTGGCCAAAATGCAGAGACAGATCGGATTCCAGTATTACCACCGTGAGGCTATAATTGTAAATTTCAGCTTCTTAATTCTGCAATCCTGAGTTCAAATACTCGCAAACACTAAGCACAAAGGCCATGCATAATTGCACAAACATACACATGCAGACAAGATCTGGCTATAATTCTTATCGCAGGAACGATATTAGCAAGGAGGCATAAAAATTAAAGTAATAAGAGCAAAGAAACCGGATAAGCCATCTGTACGCACAGCATTGGGTACGTTCGTGGAAAATATGCCATTGCATGTTATGTAGGTTGCAAGAGGGTATATGTCAAATTACGTTTATTTTTCTTTGGTTATTGTTTAGTGTGATTTCGTTTTTTTTGTTGCCTCCAAGATTTTTTTTTTCTTTAGCTTATGTTACGCCACTGGGCAAATGGCTTGTCACAGGCGATGCAGGTGTGTGCAATTGGTTATGGAATTGGAAGCAATAAGGTTGAATGCGTAACTGCGAGCCAGGATCGTGAAACTGCAGAAGACAAAACGCTGTTAATATTCCACTTTTCACGGCCAATTTTGGAACCATTTACGGTAACGGCGTCCTTTGTTCAGGTCATCCACGAAAATGTACGGCGTGATAAATGATTATATAAAGATACTTGCAGCTGAACATAATTCCACAGTGGGATCAGTCAGCAAGAAATCAGTATCTGATCATCGACGAGATTGCGTATGTCGGAAGTTGTGATGCGAACAAGCTCGCTGAGAAACTGAAAGAGCAGTCGATTGTTGCGCGAGCTAGCAGTAACCCCCAGTAATTTTTTTTTTCTGTACGCTCAGCATTCCTTTTGATCAGATAATATTCGATGAAACATCGGAAATAAAATGATTGATTACAGAGCCAGACCAAAAACTTATGAAAATTCTGTTTGGACAGTAGATCATCAGCAAGAAATTGCATCGCCAATAAATCGACCTGTGACGAGTGCTGTTTCAACACATTTTCCGGAATGGATAACGCTGCTAGCTACAACAACTCCCGGTGATTTCCTTGTTAATAACCACGGCAGCAGAACAGACTATTGCGCGTTGCTCAGTTGTGATTTCAAAGGTTTGTTTCCACTTTGTTATCCACTTAAAGCAGCAAAGGAGAATGCACCGAGATGTGGCCATCCCTGTCTTCCCATCTCCTCCTTTTTTGCCTATCCTTTTCGAACCTTCCACAAACAAACGAGAAAATTCTTTTTTATGTTCGAAAACTGGTAATTTCTTCAAAATATGTATTCCAATGTACGGTTTGAATTTTTCGTTACTCAGTAAAAATTCTTCCTGTTTGTTCTCATCAGCTTTTATTTCCCATCACTTCGCAGCCGTACTCCTTCTCAGCAAGATTATAACTAGTATGTGTAATAAATGCTGGGAAAAGAGAAATGGTGGACAAAAACTGCGTAAAATCCGACCAGGACACAAGGCGATTACAAAAATATCGAAAGTGGTAAACCTACACTTTGTATCAAAGGAAATAGAAGCAGTATGGAAGAAATTTAAAGAAGTGCTGTAACGGAAGAATGGAGGCCATAAAAGCATCCCGAATTACCGTCCATTACACTTGCTGCTGCCTATGCACAAGACTTCTATACTCAGCAAAAACTTGAGAATGCTGCAGAAGAATACACTTGAACCTCTGTCTGGATTACTTCGATGCCAGAAACACAGAAGAGCTAGGAACGTAGTAATCTGCCAGCTGCATCGGCAGAAAGAAATACAACGAAGAAGCAGCAGGTACTCAAAACGTCAAAGTTTACTGCTTAGGAATCTTACTTTCCATCTCTCGGACATTTAATAAAATTTGAAAAGGTTTTTCCATACACAGTCCCCTACTGAATCCTGTTCTCTTTTTCCTATGAAAGAACTTTGGCAAAAAAAATCCTAGACCATGCTTAATTTTTGAAAACATATAACACAAACGGGGCGACAGGGAGAGGAGTAAGGGGGGGGGGGGGGGGGGGGGGGGGGG